CTTGTGAAGTCTTGGCCCAGTAATCACGGCCCGCTCTCACACTTTAACCACGTCCTTGTCGACATTAGCATTCATTAATAAAATTTTAATTGTCGGCCCCCGTGCCCGCTATCCGTTTCAGTCTACTTCGGCTTTTGCCGTGAGATGCGCCTCGCCGTGGCTCGGCCCTGTGCTAGTTTTTTTTTATAATAGAACAACAAGTGTTTTGTAATTTTCCAGCTCAAGTACAAACGGCGGGTCTACAAGCAGCTCGTGCTGGACGAGAAGCAGCTCAAAGCCCTCCACACCAGGACCAACCTGAGAAGGTTTTTGGACTATGTCTCCAACGCCCAAGTAGAGAAAATCACCAAAATGTGTTCCAAAGGATTAGACCCGAATTTCCATTGTCCGGATACTGGAGGTAAGAAGCTTTAAATTAACACAATTTCCCAATGTAATGTCCTTTCCGCCATGGAAACCCTGCAAATTTCATTTTATCTCCTAGTTACTGACTCATTTTCGTAAAAATTTGGGTTTACAATATTAGGAAAGTTTAACGGATTTCACTTTTAAAAAAAAACAAAAAAAAAAAAACACGAAAAGTTAAAAATCAACAGACTTTCCAGTTTGACTTAATTTTACGTCCTAGAAGATACTAGAATATCCTAGTTTTAGATCATTTATATTGCCGTCCTTTCCGGCTTGGATGCCGTGAAATAAATTGTGTTTCAATGCTACCGACCGTCTCATTTTCATAAAATTTGCCTATTTATTTATCCTTTCTTTTCACTGAGTAGCACGCCGTATTTTTACAAAATTCACATTGTCGTAACCTTTCTGCCTACCCTGAAATTTTATTGAATTCATGAAATTTCATGTTACATCTCAATTTCATAAAATCATTGTTTGAATCGATAAAAGTACAATGAATTTCATACAGTCAAGAAACAACATAGGAAAAGGTAAAAATCAACCGATTTTCCAGATTGTCCTAATTTTACTTCTTTCTGGGTAACATTTTCACTAAACTGGAACATGCGAGTTTTAGACCATTTATAATGCCGTATCCTTTCCGCCTTGGATGACGTGAAATTAAATTTTTTTTCAATGCTACCTTTATTAAATTCACTAATTTCGTGCTCCGCTTGACCAATTAATATATTACGTGAATCAAGGTTTTTAGTTGAGATAAAAAAGTCAATGGCACAAGCGGGATTCGAACCCACGATCTACGGCTTGATACGCCGCTGCTCTACCACTTGAGCTATCGTGACCTCGATCCACTCGGACACCAACTTCCCATCTCAACCGCACCTTTTGAATTTTCCCTCCTTTTTGCCATCTCGCTCATGCCATTGACTTTTTTATCTCAACTAAAAACCTTGATTAACGCTACCTTTATTTTTAACTTTCTGTAGGTATATAACATTTTCGCTAAGTAGCACGTCGTATTTTTACGAAATAGCACTGTCGTGTCCTTTCCGCCTAAACTTTAATTGCTCCAATGTTACATCTAAATTTAAGAAATCATAGTTTGGATTGATAAAAGTACTATAGGCAGTCGAATAAATACAAAGTTAATAAAATCAACTGATTTTCCCAGTTATAACATATTCACTAATTAAATCCATTATATTTCGTGGTCCGATTATGGTCAAATAACTTTTTTCAATTAATTAGTCTTTATGTAAGGTATTGGTTGAAATGAAAAAGCTAGTGTCACGAGCGGGATTCGAACCCACGTCCTTCGACTAAATACGCCGCTGCTCTATCACTTGAGTTATCGTGACTTCGATCCACTCGGATACCAACTTCCCACCTCAACCTACCTTTCGAGTTTTCCTTCCATGAAACCTAATGGATTTGATTAGTAAAACGAAGTATATCTTCACTAAAGCTCTCCGTGGCCATTTCATTTGTCGCCGGGAATCGAATCCTGATTAAACGACATTTGAAAAATGACAAAAAGGAGAGAAAGTTCAAAAAGGTGAGGTTAAGATGGGAAGTTGATGTCCGAGTGGATAGAAGTCACTATAGCTCAAGTGGTAGAGCAGCGGCGTATTTAACGGAAGGTCGTGGGTTCGGATCCCGCTCGTGACCGTAACTTATTCATTTCAACCAATACCTTACATAAATATTCACTAATCTAGCTCACCTTATTTCCACATTAAAATAAAAATGTGTGGCATTCAGTGATTTGGAGATCGTGAGATGCGGTCTTGTGTGATGTAGGTTTGGAAAAATATTTTCTTTATTGTGCCAACGTTTCGATCTTTATTTAGATCATCTTCAGGGAGGATTTAAAGCTACATCACACAAGACCGCATTGCACGATCTCCAGATAATCGTTAAAATAAAAACTTTCCAACCCACGTTTTATTACAAATTGCTCGTAAAACTATAGCCTCGTGTCCTCCATATTTGTCCTTTTGTATTTTTTTACGTTTAACAATAATAATGACAAAGAAAACCAACAAGTTTTTGAACTGCCTATTTCGACCAACTAAAGAAAATGGCTATAGTTACAAAAATTTCCCATTCTTAATGTCTGCAAATGACAATAGGTAAATACATAAAAATACGCCGTAAAATTTTTTTAATGATTTTAAAATATAAATAGTTTTATGTTTATTTGACGGTTCGAAATTTTTTTGGCACTAAAAATGGGCTATAGGCGTAGTTTTGCGCGCACACACAAAACGAAAAAAAAAATGATGGGCAGTTGATACTAAATCTTATCTTCTGTTCAATTAAGCCAAGTTCTTTTTACTCGCCTTACGCTCTAATTGCTTGTTTACGCATTAAAATTAGCGGGGAGATACGAGATACTGGCCTTGATTTGTTTTATAAAATCGAACACATTTTAAAAATTCACTTAACGATTTTATTTTATAAATCATAAAAAGTTGTAACTTGTAACGTTTATTTAAGTCCAAACACAACTGCTACACAGTTTCAACAAAGGGAGGGAAGTTGATTAGTTTGAAAAATTAGAAATAAAAAATGTACGTTTACATGAAGATAAATATACTTATACTATAACAGATTTCGATTTACCCCCAATTTTGAAAACGTACATAAATAATATTCAAGGAGACAACCAGTGCATATTTCGTCCTTCCGTCGAAGTAAATATTTTCGTCCTGAAGTTGTTGACCTTTTATATTTTATTTTTCTTCTTCTTCTCCCTCTCTCNGTTTGGACATTTAGAAAGATCAATTTTTAATTAAAAATGAAATTTATAATTTTTAGATTTTTTTAAATCAATTTCGTTTTCTTTTTGTTTAAGTAAATCACCCTCTCTCTCACCTTCTAACTTTCTCTCTCTCTCTCTCTCTCTCTCTCTCACCCTTTCTCTCTCTCTCTCTCTCTCTCTCTCGCCCTCCCTCCCTCTCTCTTTCCCACTCTCTCTCCCTTCCTCTCTCTCTTCCTCTCCCTCCCTCCTTCTCTCTCTCTCTCCATCCCTCCCTCCTTCTCTCTCTCCCTCCCTCCCTCTCTGTCGCTCTCTCTCCCTCCCTCCCTCTCTTCTGTTCCTCTGTCTCTTTCCTTCTTCTATCTATTTAACAATTCAATCTTTATAATAATAAATTTGTGTATTCTCAATGACAAAAAAAACTGGACGCTTGTATTTTTTTGTTTATTTCCTATAATAACTAGAAATAAAGATTAATAGTTGAAAACGAAAACACAACAATGTTGGGTTGTAAGATGTACAGTCGTACAGAAAAGAGCGTAGTGCTCAATTCTTTAATTTAACGTTTCCAATGGTTTTCATTCTTTTTCAAGGCAACGCTGGAATAAAGGTAGAGCCGCTTTTGTCAACAAAAAAAAAAAAAATCGAAACGAATTACGGCTACGATTTTAATGCTACACTGGAAAAAAGTGGACAAAAACGGCTCTACCTTTATTCCAGCGTTGCCTTGAAAAAGAATGAAAACCATTGGAAACGTTGTTAAATTAAAGAATTGAGCACTACGCTGTTTTCTGTAGGCTGCACATCCCACAACCCAACATCGTAAACACAACATTGATACTTTTTAATTTGCCTTTATAGAGGGTTGCTTGCTAATACTTTTACACTCTTTAGATTAAAAATAAAGAAAATCAGTTCACTTTCATCCTTTCCAAAACCAATTTTTCGAGTGAGTTAATTGGGTTTATAAATTACTTCCTTTGATGAAATAATTAATTTAAACAATTTTTTTTAAAGCATGGTTTTAAGTCCGAGCAGATGCTTTGTTCAAAGACGGTCGTGTCCGTTGCATAGCTCAAGTCCTGGGTATTTTGCTCTGACCATCCACGATTGTCTAAAACGGTTTTGGGCCACCGGATGTCGAACAGAAAATAGTAGATAGAGACGCTAACTTTATTGCTTCTACCGCACTACGGTGCCGGCTTTAACGGCATCCTTGATAGGTAGTCATTTCCAAACAATCTGTAATCTAATGGTGAACTCTGAAACAGTCATCAGAAAGCTTGGTAACAATAGCCTAGTCTTAGTCTTTAGACGTCTCGCATTAGACAGAACTACTACTGGAAAGCCGTCGAGCAGAAATGCGACTATTCGCAAATCAGCTTCTCGTTTGGACACATCAACGTTAACGTTTTCTAGTCACAGATGAGTGCCGTTTTGGTTTATTGCAAACTGATGACTGGGACCGGGACCGCGTGTGCGGAAGAAGTGTCACAGACGTTTCAAAGATAGTCTTGTGGTATGAGGTGAATTCAGCGTTCATGCACGTACCAAACTGATTATTATACAGAATAGACTTTTAAGTGCACTAAGGTGCATTGAGAAAATTCGTGTGGAAACTGTGGTCTCATTATCTCCATGTATTTGGGACAATTTCGTGTTAATGCATGATAATGCTCAACTTCATGAAGCTCTAGTTGTTAGGGGTTAGGGAGGAGGTAGGGATTACCAGAATGAATTGGCCAGCACGTTCTACTGACATGAATCCCATTAATTAAGGGGTAAAGAGATTGGCTAGACGTCGTTGGGCGCTTCCAACAAGCGTTGAATAGTTTGAACTATTTGAGTTCTTGTTGAAGAATGGGATTCTGTTTCAAAAGACGAAATCCGATCGCCTATTTACTCGATGTCCAAGAAGGGTCTTACTTTTTATTAAGAACAAACCAAGTAATAAACTAATAGTTAAATTTTAATGTATTACTAAATGATTTTCCGATGATTTGGTGAATTTTCTTTCAAACCGTCATAATTAAATATTTTTTATTAAATGAAAGAATTTCTGTTCTCGTTTAATTTGGTTTACATGAAAATAAATATGTTGCAATTAACAACGTATAAATATATAATATTAATAAATAAACAACCCAATATGAGTGTCCGATTTTTTGTCTTTTAGTGTATTCTCAAATAATTATGTAATATATATGATTATTTACTATAACATAAAAATATATACACAATGTATTAAACAATGTGGCAGCGTCAATGGGTCAGAGAAACTCTCAAGAGAGCACTCGGACGATCTGATTCGTATAAGAAGGGTCATCCTCACCCGATTAAGAATAGGCCATGCGAGGTTGACATACGGACATTACTTATGGGCCAAAGCCCGCGTATGTGTTCGGCATGCAGAGAAAGGTTGCTCGATGTGTCCCATTTAAAGGGCGCAATTTCTTGGCTCTACAGTGAGCGCGCTGGAATGGCATCCGATTTGATAATTGTTCTTGAGGAGCGAGTATTTGGATCCGCTGTGCCGATTCTTGTAGGGTACGGGATTGTTCTATTGTATATAGTAATAATATGTGTGGTGTTTAATGACCGTTAGTTAATGATTATTTGGAAATCGTAAGATGCGGTCTGGTGTGAAGTAGGTTTTAGGAAAAAAACATTTTCTTTATCATGCCAACGTTTCGATCTATATAACAAATACTTTGATCGAGTACAATTTCTAGCATTGTATAAATTGACTTTTTTCACATCCTAAATGCATTTGTATAATTTAAACAATGTTTATAAATCCCAGTCCCTGAAGATGATCTCGATTAAGATCGAAACGTTGGCACGATAAAGAAAACGTTTATCTTAAACATACGTCACACCAGACCGCATCTCACGATCTCCAATAATCATAGTAGTAATAATTGTGTATACTGAGTTTGTGTTAAGAGTGAATGTATTTATTAGCGCGAACCTCCGGACTTAACCTCTGCGATCCGGCTCTTTGACGCTAAGATTGCAATGAAAAACAATGGGCCAGATCGCTATCAAGAGCACTGTCGATGTGTAGCCCTCGGAGGATCTCACTCGTAGAAGAAGGGTCACCCTCGCCCAATTAAGAATGGGCCATATAAGGTTGACACACGGAAACTTGCTTTTTGGCCAAAGCCTGTGTATGTATCCGGCATGCAAAGAAAGGTTACTCAATCTCCTGTTCCGATTCTTGGAGAAAAATAGAATTGTTCTATTGTGTATAGTAATAATAGTTGTGTGTACCTATAGCTTGTGTTGTGAGTGAACATATTTATTACTGTGACTGTACTTACTGGCGAGAATGTGTGATTTGAGAGGGTAGATGACTCGATGACGGAATATCGAGTGCACCATCGACCCACAATTAGGTTAGTTGTATAATATGTTTATAGGGTGATGGAGGAATATAGAGTACTCCAACACCCTAATTGAACGAATGGTATTCTTTTACACACTGGAGTGAATGTATTTAAGAATGAACGTAAGTATGAATGGGTTTGGCACTGCATGCGTTGGGTGCTGAATTGACCTAGCGGTTGACAGCACCCTTTCAGAGCCCAACCTCTGAAGCTGTTCGGTTAAGACTTAGGTCTGCCCCTGAAACTGCCAACACCCAGGGTTGGGTGATTCTTGAGACCTGTTTGGAATTCATTGCAAATTACAAAAGCTGTAATTGCTGGTGGACTATGAGAAGCGAATAGCTCAACTTGGGACATACATACATGTGCGGATTTGAGCTTGTATAAATCCAAATTAAAAAAAATATTAGTGTGAATATACTTATTGGCGAGAATGTGTGATTTGAGAGGGTAGATGACGACGATGACGGAATTTCGAGTACCCCATCGACTCTCAATTAGGTTAGTTGTATAATATGTTTATAGGGTGATGGAGGAATATGGCTCATATATCTAGTTGAATGAATGGTATGCAATAGGAGTGAATGTATTTAAGAATGAAATGAACGTAAGTATGAATGGGTTTGGCATTGCACGCGTTGGGTGCTGAATTGACCTAGCAGTTGACAGCACCCCCCGGAGCCCAACCTCCTGTTGGGACGGATAAGACAGAAGTCTGACCCCGGACTGCAACGCCCGGGGTGTGATTCTCAAGTCTGCTGGCACTTTACTGTAAATAGCAAAAGCTGAAATTGCTGTTGGACTACGAGAAGATAATAGGTTCATTTCGGCACATGTTTGTATGAATATACATATCTGTGTGGATTCGAGCCTATACAAATCCAACTCCAAATTATAACATTCGTTCTTGACTTGTTTTGTAAGAACAATTCTGAATAAATTGTTACACCAACCAACTCTTGAGATTGTTTATATAAAAGATGTGCGTACTTACCTTTCTGCTTATATTAATGTAAATAATACAGATTTATTTATTTTATGTGGTTTGAAAGGACCTTTTGGCCCCATTTTCGTTTTTCGGGACGGCTTAATGATTGGATTTCTTCCCTAAAACGGTTGTCTTAGCGGGTGGGAACTATTTATTATAGGGAAATCGTCTTTCATCCGTGCGACTCTTCTGACCCCGTCCGTCGGACTTTTCGTAATTTGTCTATACCGTTGGTCGACAGGTGAAATTCGGCCGTCCTTCTCCGATAAGACTAGGTCTATGTTGATTAAAATAAAGTTTAACCCTGTATTTTTACATTCACACATTTATTTTATTTATTTATATAGAGAGATGTTTAACATGTAAATTTACGATTTGTCGGTTTGACGTTGGATTAGGCGTATCGCGTTTCATGTCGCCTTGTTGCCCTAAGCACATTCGAATCGTATAATCAACGAATAAATTAGATTAAATTCGCCGATAAAACAAACGGGGATTTATTTCGTCTAACTGATGACAAAACCGACAAGGAAAACAAAATGCCGCTGTACTGAAATATAATAATAATAACTCCATTATATTTCGTGGTCCAATTGACCAAATAATTTCTTTCAATTAATTAATCTTTATGTAAGCTATTGGTTGAAATGAAAAAGTTCGTGTCACGAGCGGGATTCGAACCCACGACCTTCGGCTAATTACGCCTCCGCTCTAACCACTTGAGCTATAGTGAGTATTGAGCCGAAGGATGTGGGTTCGAATCCTGCTCGTGACACCAACTTTTTCATTTCAAACAATACCTTACGTAAAGATTAAATAATAATAACATTTTGCTCAAACAAAAATGACGTTTGGTCGCTCATTATTACAAAAATCAATCTACACCTTTTGAAACTTTCATCTAAAAAAATAAAACAGTACTAATACATATCACAAAACTTTTAAAACTTGATAAATGAATAAAAATAAAGCATCGTCTTGATTACAATTTTAACTCGTTTAAATGGGAAGCCAAAACATGGTTAGGACTAAAGTAGTTGCTTTGACCAACCAACAAATGGCTTCACCATAATTGAACGGGATAATTGTTCTTTCTGAGGGGCGTCGGTGGCCGCAACGGTTTAGGCGTTGACACGGCGCTCATCACTGTAAGGTAAAGGTCCCGGGTTCGAATCCAGCGGCCCTGTATTGCATGCCCGACATACCTACAAATGGACTTTTTTTCAAAAACATCGGCACCTCAGAGTTGATAATATAACCTCTGCTGTTGCGAACCCTCGTAAAAAAAAAAAAAAATATATATATATATATATATATATCTTGGTGGTAGTTTGAATATTCTGACGGTTTAATTTCTGATATAAATATTCTTTTGGCAAACTATTTTAGTACAACAAATTATATAAACACAGATAAACTCGATAGGTAGTAATCAGTCGGTGTCTTTATGTAAGGTATTGGTTGAAATAAAAAAGTCAGTGCGGGATTCGAACCCACGACCTTCGGCTCAATACACCGCTGCTCTACCACTTGAGCTATCGTGACTTCGAACCATTCGGACACCAACTCCCCATCCCAACCTACCTTTCGAATTTAACCTACTTTTATATATTCACTGTATTAAGTTTGATACATAAATAGAAAAATAAATAAATAAAGGAACTAAATACTTAGGAAAGAATTTGTTGGAATGAGACCTGATATGTTTTAACTTCTTGATGTTACTCGAGAGATGAAATCAATCAGAAGATTTTTCTCGTTAAATTAAGTGTTCGTGTTGTTTTCTTTGGCAGACAGCGTTTTATCTGGAAAATTCTGCACGCATTTTTGTCCTGACCTGATGACAGAACGTCAACTTTTTGATGCTGTCTTGCGACTTATATTTGTTTATTTTTGATAACCGTTAGTTTTTAACTTAATAATCAATTTGAAGTTGCAACATTTTGCTCAGTTGAGGACGTAGGTGTATTAGAAGGAAATAATTGATAGTCAATTTATGACTAATCTAGATTTTCGGTATTCCGATTTTTAGACTCTCGTCGGATTAAAATTTTACTCACTTCACTCGGACCCCGCGGATTCTCACCGTCCTGCCCGATGATTTTTCCTTTTATTGTTTTTCTGACTTTCTCCTCGGGTTGTTGGCTCCAGCGGGCTGGGGTCCGTCTGACCAGTGAGAGGAAGAAAAACGTCGATTATTCCACAAGAAAAGGGGGGGGCTTTTGTTTGTTCACGAGTACGTGAAACCTAAGTTTAACAATGGAAACGAAGGTAGGATTGAAACGGACACAGTTGAAATTAATAGAAAGTTCACGAATCTAATTATTCTCAACCAGAAGGAGTCGAGTAACTCGTCTGATGGTAACTACATCCTTGGTACATTGCAAAAACCAAAAAACAAAAATGGCTACTGCCAAAAAACCCTTCATTCATAGAGCTGTAACATGTCTTGTATGTTTCACCATCAAAACAAGTACTTAGTGTGTTTTAACGTTATGATTTTATAATTTCTTTTTTAGAAACACCTCTGAGCATGGCGGCAGCGATCAAGAAACCAGCTAAGATCCTCATGGCTCTTGTGAACGGCGGTGCCCTACTTGACTACAGGACGAAAGAAGGCTGTACCGCATTACACAAAGCTGTCCAGGCAAACAGCTTAGAAGCCGTAAGCACCCTCTTGGAGCTGGGTTCGTCTCCTAATTACAAAGACGCCAAGGGTCTCACTCCTCTTTACTGGGCGGTGACGCAGCCGACAGACCCGCTGCTCTGCGAAGGCCTTCTTCACGACCGAGCGACCATCGGAGCACAAGATCTACAGGGCTGGCAGGAAGTCCACCAGGTGAACTTATTTCTCATGCATTGTTGGTAAAATAAGTCTGTAGCGTTATACAATCAGAAAAAGGTTTTTATTTGTCAGTTTTGTTGGAGATCTTGCATTTTTACAAGGCATTTTACTAATTTAAAATAGAGAAAATAATAGTGTAGTTTTATCATTTATTGATATTTTTAGTACCGCACTGGGAAAAGAGCAGCTCAGATTGCTACAAAAAAATTGTAGTGTGTATAGTGATGATGCTTTAGGAGAATTAAGTACTTTGCTCACTTCAGAAGCGTAAATTTTTATTTGGAAGATACAAAGCATTCTGGTTGTCTGGTTGTAACCGTTGTTGGTGGCCAAATTTAAGCTTTTGTCAGAAATAACCCATCCCCCACACGAGCCATACCAGAGACACTTTGCGTATCTCTTACAACCGTTTCAATGCATCTGAGAGCAGCTGGATATGTTTTTTTGGAGTGATATAAGGGATACTAAGAATAATTTATTGTACCACATTTCCATCTGTGACTCTTTTCTAAAATGCAATATAAACGACCCATTTTTAAAAAAGATTGATAATTGGGAATGAAAATTGAGCCCTTTTTAAAAATGAGAGGAAAATCCTGGAGAAAACAGTGATCTACCATTAATAAATCCAAAAGGCGAATACACTCCAGAAATGTAATGTTAATCATTTGGTAAGTTTGGAATGGGATGCTTTATAATGAGCTTCTTCCACTCAAACAATCATTAATTCTAGTGTATACTGCACATAATTGAAGTGACAAGCAATTGACCAAAAAAGTCCAGCATTGACTAATCACAAGGGGATTTTTTTTACTCCAGGATAATGCTCATGTCTTTGCGGGCGCACCTGAAATTGTTGAAATTTAGCTGAGATCTGCCAGACCCACCGTAATCACATCATCAATATTGCCCCTTCAGATTTTCACATATTACAGACTCCGAAAAACCTTATTAATGAGAAAAATTTTACTGCACTTGAGCTCAAAATTAAGTGAAGTTCTGGGAGGTTGGGAGTAACAAAATTATATGTAAAACAAGTAATAGTTTCTATATTGATTAAATTTGTTTAAGATTTTAATGAAATTTTAATTTACCATAAAAAATGCTATGAACCTATTTTACAAACTGATTCTCTGTATTCACCCATCAAAATTTATTTATATAACTTCTTGCTTCTTTTCAATAAATGCAAATTTTCCTTCAAGGCTTGCCGAATTGGACTTGTACAACATCTTGAACAACTCCTGTTCTACGGGGCTGACATGAACGCGAGGAACGCCTCCGGCAACACACCGCTTCACGTCTGCGCCGTCAACTCTCAAGATTCTTGCGCGCGACTTCTTCTTTTTAGAGGATGCCAAAGAGAAGCGCTTAATTACGCCAATCAGACTCCGTACCAGGTAGCAGTCATAGCGGGCAACCTCGAGCTGGCCGACGTCATCCAAAACCATAGGCCAGAGAATGTCGGTAAGTTCGAAAGCATGCAGAGCTTATTTTTTAACTATTCAAATTTATTTATATTAGTAACGCAAATATATTAAACATCAAGGCTATTTATTTTTTTAAACGAATAAAACATGTAAACGCTTTTATTAAAACACTATTAGAATGACATGAAAAAAAATTATATATATAATTATATACATTTTTAATGCCCTTCATTCTTTATGTTTTATTTCTGTATTAAAACACAGTAGAAAACACAATTGAAGCATGTTTTAAACTATGTATATATTTATTTTGTTTTATGAGTTTTGCTTTGTCACTGTATGCTATGTAGATTTTTTTTTTTTTTTTTCAAGTAGATCTGTACATATTTTTTATATAGTCCAGTAGTTAATAAGGGTTCGTTGTGGTGGTGATGGTTTAAGGAAGTGGTTTTGGTTTAATAGTGTTTAATTGTCTCACACAGTGTGCGTTATTGAAAAAAACCAGAGTTAAATGGGTGTTTTCTCTATTTATGCATGAAATCCATTCCTGGGGTTATGTCGTGTCAACTTTGGTGGCATTTTGCATAATCAACATCATAATGACACAAACACTGACCAGTACTTGCTTTGTCCCACATGCTGCAATAATGTTTCATATTTTTTCCTGACCAGCACTCATTTACGCTTGTAAATACTCAATTTATTAATTTGTTGGGCCCGTTAAAATAAAAAAAAAAAATCACCGTTCAATTTTTAACAAGGCTTTATCATAGGACCAACCAGTCACACTCTAAATCTCTCTAAATAAATTCTAAGTAAAAAAAAATGGAAATCTTTCAAAATTCCATTCCAATTGTTAAAATGAAATTAATTTTGTGGCCAACTTTGCTTTAATATCTTTCAAGCTACATTACACAATTTGCGATATTTAAATCGTGAGACCTGGTCTGGTCTGCAGGGCCGATGAACCTACCTAACCTTACAGATCATCTTCTATCTTCACTGGGTTTTGTTAGACTCAACGAAGATGCCGAAATGCATTTGACAGACCGAGATGATTGATGAAGTTTAAATTACATTTTCTGTCATTGTCTCACAATAATTAATTATTTTACCAATTTCTGCGGTTATAATAATATAATCTTATAATCAGAAAAAGACAATCAGTGCCATGTTATCATCCCTATAATGACGTCTATAGTGCTACCTGTAAACAAACTAAAAAAAAAAAAAAAAAAAATCAAGCATCTAATAATCCAATTATAATTTAGCAACCTTAACTTGCCCAGAGTAAACTTTTTTGGTTAACCGTTGAATAAAATCCATAGACTAATTTAAGATAAAGTATACCCGCTGCATTGTTATTGCATTTCCCTCCCAACATTTCTTACAAGAAATAAAACTATCCTTTTTAAAAGTAGACCTTAGAAAAAATCCAATTTAACAGCCCTGTTGTAAAACACACTAAATAACAATTTGAAAATGCGGGGAATTGTGGCGCAAAAACGACTTTCATCACACTCTTTTCCATATCTTGCAAATCATTAACAACGTTAATTTCATTTCATGTCATTTTAATTTATTTGGTAAATCAATGCTAACTTAATTTTGTTTATTCATATAATAATTAAACATAAAATATTTTTTTATTGATATTTTGTTTCACCTTTAAACAAAAATTAAGTTTAATATTGCATTTATTTACCTTGTTAATGTTTTCTTTATGTCAGTAATTTTTTTTCACAACTCATTTTATTTTCTGTTATTCCTTTCATGTCGTCATTCTCTTCATTTTTGTTTTTGCTTTCTGTTCTGAGTTGTTCTGTTCTTCTTGGAATGGTGTATATGTTTTTACAGTAACGTTCCGCGAAGCTCCTCGGTACAACCCAAGACGAAGGTCACAACTCATCACTGCCCCGCCTGCCCTCCTTTCCCCAGTCCTATCGCCTCCTTCGCCCTCCCCGTCTGACAGGTCCCTCGCACCGTTCAGCTCAGCCTCGTCGAGCCTCAGTGACGGGTCGTCAGCTAGCAACAAGATCATTGAAGACACTGCAAGTTATGTTACAGGTAAAAAATATCACTGAAATCACCGCGCCACCACAAACGGCCCCTTCTTAAAACCTTTATATTAACAAGAATTTTTGTTCATTCTTTTTGTATTTTTTATTTATTTTTTATTGTCTATTAATGAACTGCAAATAAGGATGCTATGACAAATAGGTATTCTTTTGTGTTACTTGTGTAAAATTGATTGATAAAAAAAACATATTTGTTTTGTAAGTAACAGCATTTATTAATTCTTGGGGGAATAACTTTTCATTTTTCAGTTACAACATAGCTACAATGTGTATATTACACAAATGAATAATTGGCTAATTTTCCGATCAAGGCTCAGGCATAATAAATTCATTCATGAGAGTAGCGTGATATTAAAGATAAAGTAGCATAATATTTTTAAAAAAACTTATGTAAAAAAAAGCCTTTTAGTTTGTTAATAATAATTTATTTTCAAGTTGCCAATAAGTTGTAATATTTACTTGCGATATGTTTTTGTAACTTTTAATTGACCAAATAGAAAATTAGCCAATCTTTTGTTCCTTAAAAAGTATTCCAGTTATTTCACCTAAAAACCTTTTCTGTGATGCGGGACGACTACGTGTAGTTGAATCACTCTCTCTTACCTCTGTAGTTCTGCATTTATGATTCATAACAAACATTTCCTTTAGATAAGAGCCTCGGAGATACTAGTGACATAATAAGTGATAGTTCTGGCGTTGGGACTGCGAATAGCGATACGAACACATCTGTTCTATTACCTGGAACCATGGCTGTTTGTATAGAAAACTATAGCTCTACGCAACCTGGATACCTGAGAATTTCACAGGGCGATTTGATCGAAGGTAATTTGAATTTCATATTTGGCCTTTTTTAAACTTTTCAGACTTCTTACGGTTACTTAATATGTTTTGTGTTTTAAATAGTCACAGGTGCGACAGATTCTGGTTTCTTAGAAGGCACATTGAGAGGCGAGGCTGGATTATTTCCAGCTCACTGCGTACAAGAAGCACCGCCTCCAGAGCTAGGCCGATCGACGACGAGAAGAAGACCTTCGACTAGGATAGCTGGAAGGCGAGAGCCTAGCCCGGCACAGCAGCCTCCTATGGCAATGAAACATTTTGCGACTGCGCCTAGAAATAAAAAACAGTAATAATTTTAAAATAAATCTGAAATGACTGTTGTTTATATCAGAAATCGTTCGTTTAGGTTACCAGCAGAACCAAGGACTGTTGTCCTTCATAGAGGCAGGAGGGGATTCGGTTTTGTACTGCGAGGCGCTAAAGCTACATCACCGTTGATGGAGTTGACACCTTTAAACAGGTTTCCCGCTTTGCAGTATCTGGATGATGTCGATGAAGGTGGTGTTGCGGACATGGCCGGGCTTAAGAAAGGAGATTACCTATTAGCTGTAAGATCTTAATAAAATTGTTATAAGGCTCACATTATAAACAATTATATTTTTAAAATTTAATTTTAAAGATAAACGGAGAGAATGTGACAGCAGCTTCGCATGAACATGTTGTTGATCTCATAAGACGGTCTGGTGAATTGGTTTCTATGACTGTCGTTTCACTATCACCATCCCTCCAGGGGCAACATCAAGAAAACAACCCTAGGCATTATTCGACGCTACCGAGAAAGCTTACTGGAACCGCTACAGTTGGTAAGAATGCTAGATTGACTTTCATCTTTTTTCCATTTTGTCTAAATGATTTTATTTTAAAATTATTGAAATTAAAACATTGATTGGAAAATGTATTAAAAAAAGCAAAGTGTAAATTGTTTGACAAACCAATCCACAAAAATTGCATATAACATGAGAAAGCGAAGACAAATACATCATACAAACAGGATTAAAAAAAAAAATACAGAGATAAATAACATACAACATACACCATGGCCACAACGGTTTAGGCGTTGACATGGCGCTCATCACTGTAAGGAAAAGATCCCGGGTTCGAATCCAGCGACCCTGCATTCGAATCCGGAAAAAAAAATTATACTTTTCAATTATACTTTTGATAATTTTCTGAATAAATTTGAGATCAGGGCGGCTAATGAACGCTGGTATTTTAAGGGCTCTCGCATTGAAACAGTCAGTGAGTATAAATATATGGGCTTAATTCTCACTCCTAAACTTTCACTCAATGTTCATCTCAAGCGAAAAACTCATATTGCAAAATATGCAATGAATTCAATTTGGTCTAAATTCATTTCCAATAATCTTGTCCCGGTGTGCAGCAAATACAAGCTGTTTTTGGCTGTTTGTTGCTCGATTGTGTCCTACGCTTCCCAGGCTTTGGGTTTCCAGTGCTATGAAACAATTGAATCCCTACAACGCTATTTTATCCGTAAAATTTATCACCTCCCTTCTTTCACCCCTAACTACATTATCTACCTCGAGACCTCAGCTGAACTTTTGTTTCAATTTACATTAAATTTACGTACTTCCTATGTCTGCAGGGTACTACACCTTCTTAACCGCCTTCCTAAGAACACAGCGCTGGAAATCATAAGGTCCAAAATATCATGGTTCTCTTCCTGGAATAACTTGGCTCAACAATTTCAGCGGAATGACAATTTTTCCCTGGACAATTTTAAAGAGTTTTAAAGGGTCAAAATTGATTAACAATATCCACACCTCTCACACAGTGAAATGTCTCCTTGATGCTCAAAATTCCTCTAGGTTTTTGCTGTACAAGGACCTTAATATCAATCAACCTTTCTTGAACATAGCGCAAATTTCTAAAATTCCATCCATTCCGCTAGCTCGCTGGTTTTTCAAAATTAGGTGCGAGTTACTTTATCTTAATTATAACCCCACAATAGTGATATCTCTCTGCAACAGGCCGGCTCAAGAAGATTGTTTTTATTTTCTAGCAGAATGCCCAGTTTTAGCGGAATTCCGAGCACGGCATATAGGCTTGCCTGCCCACGTTGACAAGAGAGCACCTAATCTCTTTATTAAATAACCCCAAGTCTTTAAATCCTGTAAAGTTTGCGATGGAAGCCTGGAACTACAGGATAATGCTTTTTTTTTTTTTCCTAATTATGTTTACTGTATATATCAGAGACACCTTGGTTATTTATATGTGCATAAATAGATGTGTTGTTATTTTAGTTTACTTATGTAGTTTTTTTTCTCTCTTTTGTTTATTCCTTAAGAAGAAATGTGTTCCTTGTTTATTAAAAATTTATAGACCGACTCCGGCAGACGGTTGATAACCATTGCCATTATGTGCTTTTTGGTTATTTACAATTTTTTTTACTCTCTTTTGTTTATCTAATAAAGTACTTTTTCATTTATTCATTATATTTTAATTGTCCGCAAGAATAATAATTTATACTTTTGATAATTTTCTGAATAAATTTGAGATCAGGGCATTTGTTTAAGCCATCGAGAACGAAAATCCGTGGATTGGTTCGGCTGTAATTTTGATCGCGTTTCTGGCGTTAACAATTATATACAAAGATTTCATATAACTTTCAGTTGTAATTTAAACTAATTTTCAAGCGGTATTTTAAATAAGAACCCATTGTATATTTGTTTAAATTAAATTAAAAGGAGAATCCGTTATTTTTATATTTAATTTGTTATTAATTTTAATTAATTTTCATATGATCTATTTTTAAATTCAGGAATTTTATTTTATATGCTTATATTACTTTTATACCATCTCCTGAGTTTTGTTAATGCTTTAAAGAAAGGGTTAATTTGAAATTTAAAACAGTTAATTTGAAACTAACAAGGGTTAATAAGGCTGCTACGGTTAGGCGTTGACATGGTGCTTATCACTGTAAGGTAAAGGTCCCCCAGGTTGAACAAAAGCCCTGTATTCGAACCCGNTAAAAAAGTTAATTTGAAATTAAAAAGGGTTAATTTTAAACTAAATGTAGGTTAATTTGAAATGTAGAAAAAAAAGTTCATTTGAAATTAAAAAAGGTTAAAGAAATTTAAAAAAAAAAACTATATTAGACTGACTGTTCTTATTCATAAAGTAAAAGTTTGTATATTGAACTGAAATTAATTATTTTAATTGTATTTCTAAATATTTGATTTGTGTTAAATAATGTGTAGGGAGATCTCCCGCTCCGCTTCCACCAAGGAGAGACCCTAAAACTACGCTCAGTGTGGGCCGGGCTCGGGCTAGATCCATGGTTGTTGGCGTTGGAGGTAAATCATTTTCTATTTAAAATTTGCTCTATTCGAAATTATCTTATCCTATATCTTTGTGTTCATTTTCCACAGATGGAGAAGATGATACAGGGACCGCAAAAAGTTCTAGTGCAGAGAGTATACATCAGACTGTAAATCCGATGCAGCCTAGGACAGCGAGTATAAGAGCGCGGCCAACATCGAGTAGAATAACAGCAGCCGAACTGGAAGAACTGTTTCAACGTCAGAATGGAAACTCTTCTTCAATGGCCACGAGTAATTTCCAGGGAAATATGTCTCAACCGTCTTCTCCAGCTAGAACACCCAGAGTTTATGCCAGTGTGGCCGAAATGAAAAGGAGTAAAGGAAAGGTAAATAAAACATTGATCTTTTTTTTAGATTTTGGATTTGGATTTAAAGAGGCTCAAATCCGCACACGTATGTATGTACATACATACAAACATGTGCCAAGTTGAGCTTATTCGCTTCTCATAGTCCACCAGCAATTACAGCTTTTGAAATTTACAATGAATTCCCAGCAGGCCTCGAGAATCACCCAACCCTGGGTGTTGGCAGTCTCAGGGGCAGACCTCAGTCTTATCCGTACAGCCTCAGAGGTTGGGCTCTGAAGGGGGGGCTGTCAACTGCTCGGTCAATTCAGCACTCAACACATACAGATCTAAACCCATTTGTATTCACGCTCATTCTTAAATACATTCACTCCGATTTACATACCATTTATTCAGTTAGGGTGATGGAGTACTTGATATTCTGCCATCTACCCTCTCATTCATGTCACGTACATTCACACTAATATATACATTCACTTATAACACAAGCTAGGTACATACAACTATTATTACTGTATAGAGCAATCCCATTTTCTCCAAGAATTGGGACAGGAGATTGATCAACCGTTCTTTGCATGCCAGATACATACCCAGGCTTTGGCCCAAAAGCAAGTTTCCTGTCACCCTCATATGACCTACTCTTAATTGGGTGAGGGTGACCCCTCTTCTACGTGTCCGACAGTGCTCTTGGTAGTGATCTGGCCCATTGACGCTACTACCTTCTTTTAATCATGTTTTTTATTGCATTTTATCATCAAAGGGCCGGATCGTGGTGGTTAAGTCTGGAAGTTGGGGTATCCCCAGGTATCCAGACAAGTACCTGTTTTGCTGAGACACTCCAGTTCATAATTTCTTTATCAAAAGCACTACAAGAGCGTCGATGGAAAACCTGTCACACTGACTGAGGGAGTCGGTGTAGACTAGGTAGGCCACCATCGTCTCAACTCCCCCCCCCCAAATATGTGCCAAATAGTTCTGCTATGTATGCTACAGAGTGGTGGGAGCGGCCATGAAATGGACGCACCCTTACAATGCACACATCACACACCACACCTTCATCAGGCTTAGACCCGTCGAAAAGCCCACATTTTCTCCATCTGTGCTTGAGCACAGTCCTTGCTCCACCATGGTATGCGAGGTTTCAGGTAGACCCATGTGTCCGGGAAATTGATAAGCCTGCAACCCGGTTCTCCTTCTCAATAAATCGTGCATCTCTGTTGACGTCTCCTGTGAAGGTAGGAAACGTCAATGACACCGAGAAAAGTGGCGGCCAATTTGCTTGCTTGAAGGCCCACCTAGCTGGAACACGGTATGTCTGCCTCAAGACAGAACTCCTCACGACTATTCGGATGTGGTCACTCAAGCGGGGTTCCCAATGCAACCTGCTCTACCGTTGTTGCCAGAGAGGGTGAGACTTTTGACAGGTCAATCGCTTTAAACCTTCCTGTGCTTAAATAAATGTGTGCAGTGGTAGGGTTGTTCAGGAGAGCCAATCCTGATTCTCCAATTGGTTACCCTATTTCTCTGCTACCAGTGTATGCCCTGTTCCCCGTCAGGTGTTGAGGGTATTAAAATTGCCTAACATCATTATTGGTGGGGTAGGCGCTCAATAAGGGCAGACACCTCTCCACGTGTTAATCCATTTGGTGGTAGGTAAACTGAACCCAGCATCATGAGCATCGGTGCCACTATTTGTACTACAATTGCTTGGATATGCGAATTAATTCTCACCTCATATGCCTGCAGATTTTCTCTTATTAGGATATTCTCTGTGTGTTCTACCCTCCGGATCAGGCTGCATCTTCCTCCAGAAGGTTTTCTATTTTCTCAGTTGAAGGCAGACTCTGGGTGAATGCAGGTCTCCTTATGAAGTATTGCCTAGGCGTATGATCCCTGACAAGGAACTGCAGTCTCTTGTTTCTGATACCAGTGACTGGTTAGTAGTCCTACCACTCTTCTGAGTTTGGCCCTCTCCAATTGTAGCAGTGTTTTTGCCAGTCTCGGTGAGGGTTGTTTCATCATACGTTTACTATGTCTAGCACCGCTAGAGTTTATCCATTTTTCCTTTTGTTTTGTTTTGATCCGTTATGCGATGGAGGATTCTATATTTGTTTTTGTTATCCCAAGGATAGGTTCGGGGCCTATGTATGGTCTTGCAGATCCTACTCTGGCCAGTCTGTCTGCTTTCTCGTTACCCAAAATTCCCCTGTGCCCTGGCACCCAAGATATCATCAGGTTTTGTGTTTCCCCAGGTTTTGGAGATTTTGGATGCATTCACTGACTAGTTTTGATGTGATTCTTTTGCATGCTAATGCTGTAATAGCTGCTTGGATGTCTGATCTTATGAGGATTTTTTTTGTCAGTGTAACCACTTTTAAGATTTTCCAGGGCACAAGCATTGATGGCACGTATTTCCGCTTGGAAGACCGAAGTGTACTTCCCTAATGAGTTTGATTGCTCATGTTTTGGGCTTGTACAGAAAACGCCCGATTCGGTTCCTTCGTTTGTTTTGGAGCCATCTGTGTACCATCGATGTTGATACAACTAGAGGTGGCTCATGAGAGAGCCCAGCCTCTGGTGCTTGAGGTGGTTTGAACATCGGTTTTCCCCCTTCCGGTGATGTTTGAGAGACGTCTGTGTCTTCCACTTGTTGCGGGAGGGGGTTTACGTTGGTCACTAATTTGGATGTCACAGGAGTGGCATTGGTTTTTTTTTCTCTGGAGTTTTGATAACACCCACCGGAGTGGGTGGGGTAAGTCATCCTGAGCATAACTCCCTGCGCCTGCCCTACTGCCAACGATTGCCCTGGCCTCCCTGTAGGAAAGTCTATGAACTGTTTTCAACTTCTGAATTTCTTTCTCCTCCACCCAATGTGTAATTGTTGGTGTGCTTGTGTGTTATGAATGTGGACACAGTTTATCTTCGTGCTCAGGAAGAATTAATTTTGTTGTTCTCAAAAGTATGTGATTTTATTGTACCTTTGTAATTTAGCAGACTGGAGGCAGAGTAAGGTTCAGCACTGCAGGCGTTGTGATACCAGGATCTCCAGTCGTAGGAGAGCTTCACAGGGACTTCCATTCTACCCCAGATCTTGCGTTGGCTTCTAGGAATTCAATTGGTACAGTTGGAAGGACCCACAGGAGTCAGGAAGAATTGAGGCCTCCTCTTCCGCCCCCGACACACCCTCCTCCTCCTCCACCCAGCGGTCCACAAATTGTCAAAGTTGAACTCAACCCAGACTCAAACTATGGAAGTGTAGCAGCCAAAGATACCACTAATGGTAATTTCTCATTTGAATCTTTTGTAAATTTCATAATTATAACTTTTTTTTGTTCGTTCAGGTGAAACCGATGGCATCATGTCAAGCTTCAAACCTGCGAGTAATGCAAAATTGTATGCCTCACCTGTCGATGTAAAGACAGTCGGTTTCAGATCAAGATCTCTCCCAGGTCATGGGGCAAGGCCACAGGTAAAATATTAGTTAATTTTGTTTAACAGAATGTTGATTCATTTTTTCAATTTAAAAACTTTTTTTCTAGATAAGAAAATCTCAAAGTTTAAGATCTCCTTCTACGTTCAATGGTTCGCAAGGCTCACCACCTGTAAACCAAACTCAGACAACGACTAACCCTTATGCTCAGCCATTTCGCAATGGCCGTCCAAAATCAGCTTCGATTCCACCCATCCCAGATCCCGATTACAGTTTAAGCGAGGGGGAAAGCGACACCGAGAGGGAAAAGACAGTCATAAGAGTCAATACGAACACAGAAGGCAGTGGTAATTCAAGCACGAGCTCCGGCAGTTTACCTCACAGTTTCAGTGTCGACGAAATACAGAAAGTCCGTACACAGCTTAAAAGTTCAAAATCGTACCCGAACGATTTTCTCCTTCAAGGGACCGAAGACGGAGACAATTCCTCGAGCGGAGTCTCTTCAGACCAGGAAATCCCTGGGAACCCGCCGCATTTCGATGCGAAGGAAACCGTGCCTTCAGGAGGAGTCGCTACATTGCCGAGATCTTCACAACAGAGAGCCAACCTCACGAGAAACGCAGTGTCCTTAGCACAACTCCCTCCTCCCATCGAGTCGGATTCGGATGAGAAAGAAGAGACTGTAGTCCCTCCTCCTCCTGAATTTATGGAGGCAAACAGTCCTGGGATGGCTGAAGAAGTATTGGCTCCTCCTCCTCAATTCTCCGATTTAAAGCTTGTCAGTCGTGTCCGAATTGTCGGAGCCGTACCTAAAGGTAATGGACGACTCCATAGTCAATAAACGGCCTCCTCGCACTTCATTATTAGAAGTGATTATGTAGCGAGCTGTTATTTTTAATTTTTTTTTCAGTCTATGCTCACAAAATAAATATGCCGTCAATTGAAATTAATTAGTAACAACATAAGCCTTATTAAAAAAAAAAAAAAAAAAATCAGAAATTTAAGGCTCTTCATTATTTGGAGGTATATAATTACCTTGTTTGTACAATATTTTAACATTAATTTCTTGAGAGAAAAAAAGTATTATAAATATAAAAAAAGACACTATTTGTTTTTTTTTAAATTGTATATTTCTGTTTATAATATTTTTAATCTATGTTGTGTAAAACATTCCCAACAACTTCTTTTCTTAAGGACACAAAACATTTCTCCAAATAAGAAAGTAGGGAAATAATATTTCTATCCTAGGCAAAAATAATAGTTTTTATACTTGAAAACACTGCATGGATTTTGTAGGTATATAATGTAAGACTGTACAGTGTATCGTGTGCCAATATTTAAATATTTAAGTCCTCATTGGTCCTGTTTACTTCGGTGGTGTTGTGTAAATATTGAAAGTATTGTTTAAAAAAAAAAAAAAAATGAGGCAAGCTGTAACTCTATTAACACACATAAAAAAAACTAGAGCTTTGTGCTTTATTGCAGTTTTTAAGCCATAACGACAAAGTTCTCTCCCTTCATTTACTCTAAGGTGAAGCAATATGAAATTTATAGCACATAGTGTGCATTATATAAACATATTTTACACATATTTTAATAGAAACAGCACGTCATAGCGTAACTTTACGATTCTGCTATTGTTTTATGTTCAACACATGCCATTTTTTCCTTTGATAATATATTCAGAATTTTGTTTGTTGTTTTGATAATAAAAAGAAACATTTAAAAATAATTAAAAAAATGTTCATGTATAATCATTGTGTTTTCAAGAAAAAGTAATTGTTTAAATAATTTTTACAATTATTTTCTAAATAGTCGCACGATTTTAGAGTCTCCTGGTTTTTAAAAGATTTTTAATATAGGCTTTTTTGTACCCATTTGCTTTTCTTCAGTTTTATCATCTGCAAATTATCAATTAAATATGATTTCACTTATAATTATTTTGTTCTGTTCTGTTATCTTGACAAATAATTATATAAATGCCATTTTATTTTAATTACTGTTAATTAACACTTGTTATAATCAAAACTAATATAGCAATGGCTCATTTAGGCAATAAAATTATTAAAAAAAGGATCATAAGAGCTTAAAATTAATATAAATAATATATTCAATTTTAAATTTCTCGAGTACGATGCTATTCAGATAAGTGTATATAACAGAACGGGCAAATTATACGCAATTTACGCCAGTTATAATTTGATTCGAATAATTTTGGAAAATAAGGCGTTAAAATTATTGTAAACGACTGAAAGTAGGCCAAAGAATCAATTAAGCTTGCTAGTTAAAGGGAGAAAAAGTTCATAATTTTGATTTTTTTTTTTGTTAAATTTAATAATTGAAGAAGAAAATAAAACAGCCTAATAATGCCGTTTCCTTGCCTTCGTTCATCAATATTTAAACATGTGGCAATATTAGTTGTATTTACAAGATTATGTTATACATGAATATGGATATGTATATGTTAGCAATGTTAGCGAAGCATTGCTGTAAAACGCTGTCCTGTAAATATAGGTTCACGTTAGGCAAATTGTGTCTTGAAAGTTAAAAATAAATGCAAGAAAAATTTTTTGTCCGGTATAGTGGCTAAGTATTTATATAAATAAATATTTATATAATACGTATAAATATATATTCACACACATATTTGCTTAACAGCCCACAATATTATATTTGTTTATTATTGTTATATAAATATAATAGATAGGATTATGTATTAATCTAGCATTGTACTAATAATAAAAATTATCAAGGAAATTTTTGTGTAATTTCTGTATAGTTAACCTTTTGTGAAGTTTACGGGGACCATGGTGAACAAATGGTTTGGGGGTTGAATTTGTATTTGCTATTTATTTTTATTTTTTTAATTTAAAGTATAAAAATGTATATTGTAAAGTGGCTTGACCCCTCATTCGCTACAGCCAACAGTTAGTTGGGCGTTAAGCCCTCAGGAATCACTTTTTTCTGAAGATTTTTTATGTTTATCGAGCTTAAAAGTAAAGTAGGGATAATTTCAGATCCACTCGTTCTTCCAGTTCCATTCTGAAATTTTAATAGTGTCCAAAATAAACCAATAAATTATCTTTATTTGAGATAAAAAAGTGTTATGTGTGGAATTTTCAAACCCACGACCTTCGGCTAGATAAGCCGCTGCCCTACCACTTGAGCTATCGTGACTTCTAACCTCTCGGACACTAACTTCCTACCAGAACCCCACCTTTTGAATTTTCCCTCCTTTTTGCCATTTTTCAAATGTCGTGTAATCTGTTTGATTCTCGGCGACAAATGAAATGGCCATAGGATAGGTTTAGTGAAGTATACTCCATTTTAACTTATTAATTCACTAGTTTTCGTAGTCCGCTTGACCAATTAATATCTTTCAATTAATTAAGGTTTTTAGCTGAGATAAAGTCAATGGCACGAGCGGGATTCGAACCCACGACCTTCGGCTCAATATGCCGCTGTTCCACCCACTTGAGCTATCATGACTTCGATCCACTCGGACACTAACTTCCCATCTCAACCCAACCTTTCGAATTTTCCCTCCTTTTTGCCATTTTTCAAATGTGTAATCTGTTTGATTCTCGGCGACAAATGAAATGGCCATGGAGAGCTTTAATGAAGTATACTTCATTTTAACTTATTAAATTCACTAGTTTTCGTAGTCCGCTTGACCAATTAATATCTTTCAATAAATTAAGGTTTTTAGTTGAGATAAAGCTCGTGGGTTCGAATCCCACTCGTGACACTTAATTTTCTATCTCAACTAAAAACCTTAATTAATTGAAAGATATTATTAATTGGTCGAGCGGACCACGAAAACTAGTGAATCCAATAAATTCAAAGTACACTGTTTTGGAAAGGAAGAAATTCTTTTTCCCTTCACTAGCTTAAGTTCTTATTTACTCTTTTTATTTATTATTTTTTCTAAGGACTAAATCATTCAAATTCAGAGAAGAATCCAGTACTAAATAAAAACAATTATATTTCTTATTTGTTTCTGTTTACCAATTACAAGAAACTCAGAAAATTTAGTAGAACAACTGTAAAATGGATAAGTACAGTATACTTAAATTGAAGTTGATTTGGAGATCCAAAATTTTGTAAAGGTAAAAAATACAAAATAATTTTCATATATAATTATTTCTATTAATTATTCGTTTTATCTAAGGCCTTGGTGGAATGAAAAAGTTAGTGTCACCAGCAATATTCGAACCCTCAGCTGAAGGCGATACTAACTTTTTCATTCCACCAAGACCTTAGATAAAAAGAATAATAATTGAAATAATTAATACGGTCAATTATGACCATTAAACATATATGGATTTAGATATAATGAAAATTAAATTTAAAAAACTAATCTTTTTTTTGCTCTAATACAGTCATGTTACGACTTATACTGGGAATTCATTAAGCAGAATTTATGGATGAGTAAACAGATTAATTAAGCTTTTGGTAGTGAAGCCTGCCTATCCCCCCTGTGTTTTGATGCAGTCTGGCCCAGAGAAATTAGAATAGAGCTTTTGGGAGTGGTCTTGTCTCTATCGCTGAAGTGTTCTCATGTTGGGATGGTTTATAAATATTCACTACGTTAATAAGGGATAGTACGGTATGGTAGAAAAGGATACTAGGAAGAGGGGTTTGTACTCCCCAGGCACGCAGCCTTCTGGCTAATAAGTTCCTAGTTCCTTAGTTCAGTCAATGGACTCAATCCTTCTTCTTAGAAGTATTAGGTCATTGACTGTTGCTGCTGCAATTTGATTCCCTAAGTTTTTTCCGTACGTTAGGTTAAACCTCCATTGAGCTGTTGCTTCGCATTCGAAGATGATATGAGTGGCTGTTTCCTCTTCCTCATTACATAATCTGCAGATGGGATCATCTCTGTATATATCCANCATCTCAATTAGAAACTAGACAAATAGATTTAAATTAAATTCGGAACTATAGGATATTAAACTTTCTCCAAATAAAGCAAAAATTGAACTTTTTCATTGACATTTAAAAAAAAATTGCATCCCCATCCTTTTGATGTTCATAAAATTAAATAACTATGTGAATTTTGGAATTATTATTTTTGTCATCTAAACCTAACTAGCCTTCCTTTTTTTGAGTTTTCTCTTTTTTACTTTTGTCTTCTTAAAAATAAAAAATTGGTTATTGGATTAGACAATTAACATTATTAGTGTCCTGAGCGTCCTCAGGGATTCATTAGCATGGCGGTGGTCCCGAAAGAAGTGCACAAGTAAAAGTACGTTTCAAGGAAAGTAGTAACACCATTTCCTGACAAAATTAAATATATATTTTTTGCTTTACATGATAGACTTAATCAGGATGAAGTCACGGCGGAAAGTTTTTGATGAAGAACAAACTCCAACGTGAAGTAATTGATCTAGACCTAAAAGCGAAACAACAGCAAAAAGACAAAAAAGCCACGAGTTATTTCAAAATGGCAAAATAATAATAGCTTACAACTAACAAGCCACCCCTTTACATAATTTCCCCCACGGCCCTCGATTCCGCGGCCCGCGAAGAAGGAGGTGGTAAGAAGACTGGAGGGGCGCTCAACTTCCATACTCAGTAACTCAGTGCAACTCAGAGTGACAGGTATCAGGAAAGTAATAAGCTGAATTACATGTGAGATCAAACAAGGAGATGGTTCAGACGACAAGCATGTTCGAAACTGTAAGTAAATCCAGATTACATTTTTTTACGCGTCTGTTTTATCTAGATCAATTGGTTTTTGATATAAAAAAACTGATCAAAACATAAACTTCTATGATGGACCTCAGGATATGTTGACACTAGAGACTTTAACGCACTGAATCGCCGGAGACTGCAACGTCGTAAGAAAGAAGGAGCAAAGGGCAATAATTAATTTATTTATTATTCATTTGTTGACTAATGTTGAATAATATTTAAATACAATTTATTAGACATTTTTAACGTATGTCTGCTTGTTTGTTGGTTTTATTTACTGTTTAATTGAAAGAAGTGTTGATTTTCACTTTCGCGGTATGCCTTCCAGCACCAATTGCCTTCTCGTGAGGGGACTCGCACAAAAGTTGCAAAAGAGCAAATTTATTTGCGCCTTTAAAACCGCCGTCACGACTGTAATAATTATTCTTTCTTTTTTGAACTTTTTTGCACTTTTTCCCACCTAGGCTTCTTTTGATTTCTCTGTTATGAAGGTCAAAGCGGAGTGGGGATTTGTGCGGCCGCGCCTTCGTCTTTCCCTCCCCGTTACTCGGCTAAATTGTGCCTATGGCTGAAGCGAGACGAGGCGGGGCCACGGCGATTATCGGTTTAAACGAGATGAACATCTGATTAAGCCTTTAACACGTTTAAGCCGCAAGGTCGAGAAAAGTCCTTCGGTCGGTTCACATATCCCCTCAAAAAATCAAACCCAAATATCAAATGTTTCAACTCTCGACTATAAATTTAAACCATAAACTTCACTTATAAAAGCACTTTTCTCAATAAATTTGAATTTGCGCTTTAAAAATTTCAAGAAACCAACAGCACACAGGAAAAGAGGCAAAAATAATTAGTCAAGATTAGATAAATCCCTATAAACGGCTAATACGTTTAAACATCTATGTTTATAAACCAAAATTTAAGAGCAAACAAGTTCAAAAATATTTTTTCCGTTAAGCAACGATTATTTCAAAATCGTGCTGAGCCATTTGGAAAGTTATAAGAAGGTGCAATCATTTGCCTTCGTCATTGTCTTCAATAATTGCTCATAGCTTTTAGTCCTTTTCTTTTGGGAGATTATGTGAAAGTTTGAGATCGTAAGCTGTAAACTCAAGCTAATATTACGAAATGAGAATTCATTTTTAAAAACATCGAACAGGTACCATTATTTTCATTCCAATCCGTAAATAACTCAAAATTACAATCCAAATATTCGTTAGTATACGGGACTTCGACAAACCCAGTAAACTTGGAGAAATCGGTTTCATAACGTCAATAAAATATCAGTAAATTGTTTAATACGCAAATTGTGTTTATTCAAGTTCAAGGTATTTTCACGTCAGCAATGATACAAAAATACATTGTTGTTATTTGTTTAATTCAAAAATATTGTACAAAACCTGCCGGTAAATCGAGAAACATTGTGAAAGAACCGACCAGTACAAAGTCTTGGTTACCCGGGTGTTAATTATTTAATTTAATCAAAAAATTACCAGACAATTACTAATAAATCGTGGTCATATTTGGTTTTCATTCCGTCAATAAATTGTAAAATATTACAATCTGATTATTTGTGAAAGACCGATTCTACCAACACTTACTTTCTCTAGTGTTTAATTTCCCGGAAAAACTATAAGAGAAGTCCTGATAAATCGTGAAACACGAGTGAATAAACTTTTCATTTATCCTAGCCTTCCTTGGTTTTCGTACCATCAATGAGTTGCACAATATATACCAATCTAGGATAGTTGGTGAAAAAACGTCCATTTTCCCTGGTGTTTTTAATTTAATTTCCCACAAAAAGTATAATACAATTTCTGATAAATCATAAAATTAGGTGATTAAATTATTCTGTTTATCCTAGTCCTATTCGTTTTCATTCTATCAATAAACAGCACAATATTTGCCAATAAATAATCTTTGATGTTGGTGAAAGAACGCCTATTTTCCATAGTGTTTTTAATTTAATTTCCCACAAAAATTATAAGACAATTTCTGATAAATCATAAAATTAGTTGAATAATTTATTCTGTTTATCCTAGTCCTATTCGTTTTCATTCCGTCAATAAATTGTACAATATGTGCCAATAAATCTAGGATAGTTATATATATTACGCAGGGTGGGCGACCAAGACCCGAGGGGTTAAATGCCTGGGTAGATGGACCTGTTCACAAACCCCGAGATTTTGGACCATTTTATCTTGGGGAGTGATTTGGCAATGTCCTCTCCTTCAAAAGTTTCAAATCTATGCCTGGCATACCTATCACACTCTGCGAGGTAGTGCCGTGCCGTTTCTTCTTTTATTTCACAGAAGCGGCAAAAGGGATCTGGTAAAATACCCATTATGAAGAGGTGTCTTCTCAAGGGGCAATGTCCCGTCAGGATACCTATCAGCCTCCTAATTCCCCTCCTTGAATTAGAGAATAGCCATTTCGATTCTTTCGGTTTGATTTCCTTCACAAACTCTTTTGATTGCCTATGTCCGGGGGACAGATTCCATTCTTTAAGGAATTGTTTCATGCCCCAGCTATCGATATTCTCTTTCGCTGTGCTTATAGAGTGAGGTAATACCGGTTGTGGCCCGACAAACGCAGAATTTGAGCCTTCTTTGGCCAGGCTATCCGCCTCTTCATTGCCATAGTGTCCCTTATGAGCTGGTATCCAAATGAGGGTTACCCTATTCTCGTGCCTGGTAGTAATCCTATTAATAAGTTCAACAGTTTCCTCCACCAGCCTAGATGTTGATAGCTCTTTTTGTAATGACTTAAGATTGGCCTGACTGTCGGAAAAAAATCTATCTAGGATAGTTGGTGAAAATACGTTTTTTCGCCAACTCCTATTTTCCCTTATCTTATTAATTTAATTTCCGACAAAAATTATAAGACAATTCCTGACAAATATTAAAATTAGGTGAATAAACTATTCTGTTTATGTTAGAACTATTCGTTTTCATTCCGTCAATAAATTGTACAATATGAGCCAATAAATAATCTTGGATAGTTGATGAAAGAACGATTCTTCACCAACCCTTACTTTCTCTGTGTGACTAATTTAATTTCCTTAAAACATTATAAGACAATTACTGATAAATCGGGAAACATTGAGTGAATAAACTTATCAGTTATCCTAGCCTTGCTTGGTTTTCGTACCATCAATAAGTTGCACAATACGTACCAATCTAAGACAGTTGGTGAAAAAACGTCCATTTTCCCTGGTGTTTTTAATTTAATTTCCCACAAAATGTATAATACAAGTTCTGATAAATCTTAAAATTAGGTGATTAAATTATTCTGTTTATCCTAGTCCTATTCGTTTTCATTCTATCAATAAACAGCACAATATGTGCCAATAAATAATCTTTGATGGTTGGTGAAAGAACGCCTATTTTCCATGGTGTTTTTAATTTAATTTCCCACAAAAATTATAAGACAATTTCTGATAAATCTTAAAATTAGGTGAATAATCTATTCTATTTATCCGGTCCTATTCGTTTTCATTCCGTCAATAAATTGTAAAATATGTGCCAATTAATCTTGGATAGTTGGTGAAAGAACTAATCTTCACCAACCCTTACTTTCTCTGTGTTACTAATTTAATTTCCTCAAAACAATATAAGACAATTACTGATAAATCGTGAAACATTGGTTGAATAAACTATTCTGTCTGTCCTGGTTCTATTTGGTTTACATTACATCAATATATTGTACAATATCTACAAATAAATAATCTTGGATAGTTGGTGAAAGAACAATTCTGCATCAATGCCTATTTTCTCTAGCGTTATGAATTCAATTTCCCTGAAAAATTATAAGAAAATCCTGATAAATCGTATGATTTTGGTAATTTGTTTTATTTCACCAAGAAATTATACAAAAATTAATTATAAATCATGAAAACTTGGTTTAATTGCATTTATAAAATGTCCAGAAATCACCGATCATTCATGAACGAACGACATGAACGATAAACATGATTTTTACTCTAAAATTGACAACAATAAATACAAATTAAAAGAATTACATTGAATTAATAATTAACGTTCTCTCTAATAATTAGACTGTGTAATTTGATAGATTATTCTTTTTATTTCTTTTCTACGAAATACAACACCGTTGATGGGTAAAAAACATATAAAGTTACAATTTTAACGGGACCGACAGCGTCTGGCCTATATTTCCATTTTCAACTCTCAGAGATTGTAGATCGTAGGTTTTTCTATAAAGTTTTTTTAACTGCCATTTTATACTTTCGTGAGCCAACCGGTGCTTTCTCGTCTGGGGAGTCTCGGCATCCCCTGAAATTTATACTTCCACGCTGGAATGCAGTCCCGCAGTCGGTTATCAAGTTTTCTCGGCTTCACAACGTGTACTGTTTGACTTCCAATCGTAACGCCAATGAAATTCCAAAGAGAAATCGATCCATGCTAAATGAATCCCTGAGGACGGCTCTGGACACTAATAATGTCAATTGTCTAATCCAATAACCAATTTTTTTATTTTTAAGAAGACAAAAGGAAAAAAGAGAAAAATAAAAAAAAAGGAAGACTATTTCGGTTTAGATAAATAATATTTCCAAAATTCACATATTTATGTAATTTTATGAACATCAAAAAGATGCATTTTTGGATGGATTTTTTAAAATGTTTAATGAAAAAGTACAATTTTTGCTTGCATTTGGAGAAAGTTTAATATCCTATAGTTCCGAATTTAATTTAATTCTATTTGTCTAAGTTTCTAATTGAGATGAAAATAGGTTTTAACATGAAAAGCCAAAGACTTCAAACCTCTACTTGATTTTCATTTTGGAATTTTTTTTTATATTTTTCTCTACTTAGCCCTTTTTAAAACTATTGCAGAATTGAATCAATGCGCCATTGTTTTGACAAATGGTAAAATTCTATTTATTTATTATTTCAAAAAACGTGTGAACTCCCCCCCCCCAGCAGCTTTTTTGTTTTATTTTATATTTATGGATTTATATATTTTTC